ACTCTTGTATGTTGCGTGTTGGGAGAGTGTGGAATGTGGTTGGGGGTATGTGCGCGTGGAGGGGGTGTGTATGTGGGAAGGTTGGGGGTGTGGTCAGGGTATTGGGTGTGGGGGGGGTTTCTGGGGTGTGAAGGTGGTGTATGGATCCCCCCATAGCCTCTCTCCATGGTGCACAGCCCCCACTGGCAGCAGCATTATGTGGTGGACCCTCAGCATGCTCATGGCCCGCACAAGCGTAGTCGCCCAGTGGTGCATGGCTCCAGCTAGTTTTTGGAGCTGCACGTTGGCAGCAAGGAACAGAGCCAGGCCAGTCCACCTCTATTGCACAGGGCTCATGTGCAGCTCCCAGGACTTGGGTGCTGCTGGGGGGAAGCCCCATGTGATGGAGCCAGCAGTCTGGCCCTGCTTCTTGCCATCACATGTCACTCAGGGAACTCCACCAGGAGGCAGGGAGCATGGTGCCCCACCACTTCTGGCAGAGTCCCATGAGCTGCACGTGATGGTAGGGAGCAGGGCCAGGCCACTGGCTCCATCATGTGGAGCTTTCCTAGCAGTGGCACATGAGTCCCGGGAGCTGCACGTGAGTCCTGCATGATAGAGGTGGGCCAGCCTGGCTCCACTCCTTGTCATATGTAGCTCCCAGAACTGACTGGAGATTTGTGCCGCCGGTTGACTGTGCTCGTGCAGGCCATGAGAAGATCAAGGGCCCACTGCCGCCACCAGTGACAGCAGGGGCTGTGCGCCATGGCGGAGGGTGTATGTGCGGGGGGGGGGTTCCCCATTTTGGAACCCACCTTCTCTCACACCTCACAAACCCCACCCACACCATGCTCACCTGAGCTCTGTGCTCCTGGTGCCCTGCTGGGCATGGGCCCCAGGCTCCTTGCTCCTGCCAGCCTCATGTTCCACACTCTCCCCCAGCTGCAACTTCCCTGCCTGCTGCCTGGAGGAAACACTGCAGCAGGGACACAAGCAAGAGCCACTGGAGGCTCAGGAAGCCCAGCACATCCCCTGGCAGTGGCAACAGTGGCTCTGCCCAGAAGCTTTGCATGCCAGCTGGGGCTGGGGCCCTCCCATGCAGGAGGCTGGGAGCTGGGCAGTGTACAATTAATTGGTGGGCACCCGTAGGCCGGATGAAATGGCCTGGTGGGCTGGGTCCAGCCTGTGGGTTGTATTTTGCTCACCCCTGGTGTAGGATATCACCTACCTGATAAGTTCAAGGTACTTATTTTTTAAGTGTTTTTTCTCTTCTGATGTTGTAGAAAACAAATATTTAAATTTTTATCAAGCCTTAAAAGGTTTTGTGTAAACGAGGGGCAGGATTCAGGTGCTTAAAAATCTAGATTAATCCTGTTTCCCTCTTATTTTCTTTAACCCATCTGAAATGAACATGGCAGAAATTGATTCCTGTATATGTAAGAACTGAATCAAATGCTGTGCTACTGGCATTCTTGGTTTTCATAATTTATTTCATGGTCATTAGTGGTGGTTCATGCTTATTTCTATAAAGCAAGAGCTCAAATTGGAGACCTACACCTATAGCGTAAGAGGTTTAGCTTTAAAAAAGTAATTAATGTAATGTAATTTCAGACTCTTCTTTTCTTTTCCCACCACCAAGGAAAAATATTTATTCCCAAGAAGAAGACTGTACAGTCATATAAAGAAGAGAAAGTGTCTCTTGATCCAGAATTGGAGGAAGCCTTGACAAGTGCCACAGATACAGAACTATGTGACCTTGCAGGTTAGTTTTTATAGGACAGCAGTGTGTGCATGTTCATAAGTCTGATCCCACATACTAAATATTACATCTTGAAGAGCTGGTTATCTTAGATGCTGGCCCACGGTATGTCATGAGGATTGAGCTGAGTTCTTGGCTATGGGTATAAGATGTTAGAAGAACTGTGGGCCAAAGAGAACTAAAGAAGGATATTACTCTAGTTGAAGTAGTCTTTTAATTTTTTAAAATTTTTATCTGGCTTAAAATGAAAATCATGTGAAGAAATGATTAATGGTTTGCAGTCAGCTATAAGTATTATTTCAAAAATACATTTCAAACTTAAGTAGCCAGAAACTATACAATTCTTTTCTTTTATAGCTATCCTGGGAATGCACAATTTGATATCGAATGCTGATTTCTGTGATATAGTCGGAAGTAGCAATGGTGTTGACAAAGAGAGCTTCTCAAGTAAGTAGTCAAGACTTAAATAAAAATCTGTGTATAGTAAGGATTATCCAGCCCTGTTGCTACTACTGTATTAACTATTTAATATACTTATTCTTGCTGCAGAAATAGCGTTTAGTTTGCCAGATTTAGTTTACCAGATTTGAATCGTGCTTGTTGTGTGATATGCTAGATGAACTGTAGCAAGAGTGAGAATTAAAAGACAAAAATCTTGTTTTGTGAAAAACTCAGAAATGAATGAACAAACACATTTTATTTATGATTGAGTTTTACCTTTAAGATATGCTTCGTGACCCAATTTCCATCTGATTTCCCAAAAAATTACAGGGGATGCTATCTAGAATGTAGCAGAGAATCTTTAGAGAGCTTCTGAATTTAAATATGGCCAAAAGAGGACAATATACTCTGGGATGCCTTGGTTTTTTTGGAGGAGGGAATGAGCAAAAAATATATTTTAACAGGTAGCTTATGACTGTTTAGACACAATAGTTAGCATACATACTGTTTGTTAAGCTAATAAATCAACCATACGATTTATTGTCTTACATTTTAGATATAGTAAAAGGTGAAAAGATTTTGCCAGTTTTTGATGAACCACCAAATCCCACAAATGTGGAAGAAGCCCTGCAGAGGATTAAAGATAATGACTCTCGTCTTGTTGAAGTGAATCTGAACAATATAAAGGTAACTGTTTGGAACTTTTAATAAATGCACTCTGTTCTCTAAATAATTTTTCAATATCTTCAGTTCAGTATTTGAAGCTAGCCCCTTATAGACTCACTTTTAAATGTAACAGCTTTCTCGATACATTTTGAGTTGTATAATCTCAGGGTAGGGACTTGGATTCAAAATCTTTATCCGGTACTGTTTACATGTCATCCATAAGTGTTATTAAGAGCATAGTGATACATGCATATAGCATATTACTTGATTCATATATGATTTGATTAAAGTTGACCCTGCATATAAGTTGACCTCATACTTTCCAAATCAGCTTTAGGAAAAACATTTTTCCCCTAATGTAAATTGACTGGGGAAATCAGCAGAGAAAGCAGCAGAATAAGGACCTTGGACTTCAGAAAAGCAGACTTTGACTCACTCAAGGAATTGATGGGCAAGGATCCCCTGGGAGGTCAATCTGAGAGGGAAGGGTGTCCAAGAGAGCTAGTTGTATTTTAAAGAAACCTCCTGAGGGTGCAGAAATAAACCATCCCAACTCACAGAAAGACTTGCAAGTATGGCAGAAGACTAGCTTGGTTTATCGGGGAACTCTTCAGGGAGCTAAAACACAAAAAGCAAGCTTACAAAAGTGGAAACTTGGACAAACAACTAGGGAGGAGTATAAGAATATTGCTTGGGCATGCCAGGATGAAATCAGGAAGGCCAAAGCACAATTTGAGTTGCAGCTAGCAAGGGATGTGATCAGTAACAAGAAGGGCTTCAACAAGTATGTCAGCAAGAAGAGAAAAATCAGGAAAAGTGCAAGTCCCTTACTAAAAGGGGAGGCAGCCTAGTGACAGATGATGTGAAATGTCTGAAGTAGTCAATGTCTTGTTCACTTCAGTCTTCACAGGCAAGGTCAGCTCTCAGACTACTGCACTGGCAGCACAGTTTGGGGAGAAGGTGAGCAGCTAACAGTGGTGAAAGAACTGGTTAGAGACTATTTACAGAAGCTGGATGTGTACAAGTCCATGGGACTGGATGCTGTGCACTTGAGGGTGCTCAGGGAGTTGGCTGATGTGATTGTAGAGCTGCTGGCCATTATCTGTGAAAATACTTGGCGGCTGGGAGAGGTCCAAGATGATTGGAAAAGGGCCAGCGTAGTGCCCATCTTTAAGAAAGGGAAGGAGGAGGATCTGGGGAGTTACAGGTCAGTTGGCCTTACCTCAGTCCCTGGAAAAATCATGGAGCAGGTCCTCAAGGAATTCATTTCTGAGCAATTGGAGACAGTGATTAGGAAAAGTCAGTATGGATTAATCAAGGGCAAATCATACCTGGCTAACCTGATTGCCTTCTATGATGAGATGACTGGCTGTGTGGATGTGGGAAGAGCAGTGGACATGATATACCTTGATTTAAGCAAGGTTTTTGATATGGTGTCTCACAGTGTTCTTGCAAACAAGCCAAGGAAGTACAGGTTGGATTGATGAGCTGTAAGATAGAAAACTGTTGGGCTCAAAGGGTAGTAATCAATACATCTGTATTTGGCAACCAGTATCGAGTGGACTGCCCTAGCGGTTGGTCTTGCAGCCGGTTTTCAATATGTTTGTTGACCTTGAAGTGGTATTGAGTGCACCCTCAGCAGGTTTGCGGAAGGTACCAAGCTGTGGGCAGTAGGGTTGTGTGAAACGCCATAGTTTCATTTCGATGTCTGTTTTGCAGTTTCAAAGGGACAGTGTTTTGTTTCGTCATTCATTTCATTTCAAAGCACTGTCCAGTTTTGTTTTGTCGAAACTGCTTCACTGTTTCAGAGTTTTGCCCATAGGCTATAAAGGGGAATCATGAAAATGCCTAATACTTTGTCGTTTCTTGCCTGAATTGGATGATAATTGCAGGTACGGTAGCCCCTTCTGAGGGCATGAAGCCTGCCAAGTTTCAAGGAGAGAGGTGCAGAGGTTTCTTGGAAACTGCATCTCAAACATCAAAAAGCAAAACTCATGACACTTGCTGGCAGCTGCAGCCACTGTCATCCAGCGCAGATCTGGGAGTCTGAACTCCTGGGAGGGCTGCAAGGCCGTGCAAGACTCCTGCTCAGGGGTGCAGGCCCCCAGATCAGCACTGGATGAGAGGAGGCTGCTGCTGCCACCTGGACTGGCACTGGGTACAACCCACACCCAGCGCTGGGGAAGACTGACACTGCTGCTGGCCCCAGGCAGCAGCAGCAGCAGCCTCCTGTCATCTGGTCCGGTGACGGGAGGCAGGGGAGAGCCAGGGCTGTGCTCCAAGCAGCTCCGCAGCCCCATGGAGCTCAGCCTGGTGGCAGGAGGTGGAGAGCAGCCCTGGCTCTCCCTGTCTCCCACCGCCGGGCTGCAATCTGTGGGGCTGCAGAACCACTTGGAGCACAGCCTTGGCTCTCCTGCCTCCCACCACTGGGCTGGTCTGAAACTCAAAATGTTTAAAAATGTTTAGAGTGCCCTTGTTTTGAAGCTTTTTGTTTAGTTTTAATTTTGCTGTTTCAAGTTTGAAATGCGTCAAAACAGCTTTGAAACAAAACACTCAGTGAAATTTCGCACAGCCCTAGTGGGCAGCATTAGATATGCTTGAAGTAGGGCTAGGATTTAGAGACCTAGAGAAATTGGAGAATTGGACCAAAAGAAATCTGATGAGGTTCAATAAGGAGAAGTGCAAAGGTCTGCACTTGGGAGAAAACCCATGCACCGGGACAAGCTGGGGACTGACTGACTAAGGATGTGGACAAGTTGGAGAGAATCCAGTGGAGGGCAGCAAAAATGGTTCAGGGACTGGGGCACATGACTTACGAAGAGAAGCTGGGGGAACTGGGCTTATTTAGTCTGGAGAAGAGATGACTGAAGGCAGATTTAATAACAGCCTTCAGTTACCTGAAGGGTGGTTCCAAAGTGGATGGAGTTGGACTGTTCTCAGTGGTAGCAGATGACAGAATAAGGAGGAGTGATCTCAAGTTGCAGCAAGGAAGTTTAGGTTAGATCTTAGGAAAACAAAATCTCTCATGAGGAGGGTAGTAAAACACTGGAACATGTTACCCAGAGAGGCTGTGGAATCTCTGTCCTTGGAGGTTTTTAAGATACAGCTAGAAGATGCCTTTTTATGGTATTTTTATGGAAGTGTTTTGAGGGGGTCCAGGGAAGATTGACTTATTGGACAATACAGCAAAAGTAGCTGTCTATAATTATGATTATTTCCAGTTATGATTGTGACTGACAAATTTTTAAACAGTATTTATATGAAACAATTTAATATATCTAAACCAATCATCAATAGTTTTGGTTTGCTTTTTTAATATGTCCAAATTATTTACTGTTTCCACTACGAATACAAAATCTATGCCACGGTATAAGAATTGCATACATTAGTTAGACCAGACACAGTATGCACCCATAAAGCTAACAAAATACAATGTATTGCTATGATGTATACAAAAAGAATAACCAAGTTCTCATCATAGTCATCCAAAATTATTGCATTTGATTCTAATGGTCCAAAATGAACTAGTCTACTTTTGTAAACCTAGTTAAGCAGAACATAAATATTTTAAACAATTTTGCATTCAGAAGGAATTTCTAGTTATTCCTTTCCCTAATCGATCTTGACTTGTGATATACAGCCCACTTCATGAAAGAGGCATTAACGTATGCATGCAGCCCTAGTAGAATATTCGCCTTGCATACTTGCTCCTTCCAGGACAAGGCACTTTCTAACATTTTCATATGTGGCACTGACTTGAATATAGTAAAGTGTATATAGGTGACTTAAGAAATTACCCTAACACTCTGCCCACTTTATACACATCTAAACCTCTGCTGTGGGACTAGGTTCTTTGATAATAATTTAAAATTTAGTGTTCAGGTATGTTTACATATAGAAAGAATAAGATAATGTGAAGAGTTGTGCTGGAAAAAAATCTTAATAGTGGAGATTCTCAAGAATGTAAAATATTTTTAATTCAAGAACATCCCGATTCCAAGGCTGAAAGAATTTGCAAAGGCTTTGGAAACCAACACTCATGTGAAGAAATTCAGCCTTGCAGCTACTCGAAGCAATGACCCTGTTGCTGTTGTAAGTTGAACTATTGTTTTCAGCTAATAGTATATGGTTGGGAAGAGGCAGGGGGAAAATTTGATTGAACTGAAATCTATTTGAAAGTCCTAGTAACTGAAAGATTATAACAATTTCATTCCCTTGTATTCAGAAGTAAAATATTGTTAAATGCACCCTAGCTGCATCTCATTGGGCAAGTATTTTACCATTTCATGAATATGCCAGAGTGTGTTAACTACAATATAAATGAAACTTGGTACTCCGGCATTTTAGTGCTTTCCGTCTTGTGAGAGATTCTCAGGTAGACCTCCTTCCCTCCTAACAACTGATTCCCCCTTGCTTAGATGTCAATGCTTCTTCATTCCAGAAACCAGTAATGTCTATAGAACTTGGTTTAAAGGAGCTCTTCTCTTAACAAATAGAGATGTTAATACCTGTATTATAAGATTCTGTGCTGAACACAGTTTCTGTAGCAGGTAGATCAAAAAAAAATATTTTGTAATGTGTTGACTTAATATTGATATTCTGTCCTAATTGTGACATTTTAAATCAAGGTTGAGTCTCAAGGTCTCTAGCTGGTTGGTAAATAAACTCAAATACTAGATATTTGTGTTCTTTGCTTCTGTACATTTCCCCCCCCCCATGAAGTCGAAACCTTTTATCCAGTAGTATCTTGTTAACATTTCAAATAAATTCAGAATCACAGACTTTCCTTCAAAATAAAGATCTCTGGTTCTGCATTAAGTTTTTTTTCATTTCAAATTTGGAACAGAAATAAATTTGAAACATCCTGTGAATAACGTTTTAGAAAATTTCTTTTTAGATTTATCAGAATAAGTTGTCAATTAAACTGAAGTATTTTATTCAAATTTCTGATCTCATTGTAGCGTGTATGTTTTATAATACATATTACATAAAAACAAGTTTATATCTTACTGAAATGTTTGGTTTATTTTTTTTAGGTTTTGTCAAAAAGATTGAAAGGTTTCCATTTTCCACTGAAACCATTTTCTAACTAGCTCTCACCTTGGTGATTGACTTTAAAAGCCATTCTCTTGCATTTTCTTCTTTTAACAAATGGCAATCATAAGTATTCTAGAAGTCGTATTTCCTGCCTATAAATCCCTCAGATCTAATTTCATCTGTTGTGTGAACAGGCTTGTTATAGCTTTCATTGTTTACTTTAAGCAGCTTTGTATTATTTCACTGGGCACCACAGAGTTTTTTGCAAAGCTTACCAAGTGGATGTGGTCCAATATGCTAATTTCAGACGATTTATATTCTGTGTAGGTTCTAGTTTGTAGCAAGTGAAGGACACAGACCCTTTAATTGCATACTGTACCACTGAAACTTGTCTACACTGGAGAAGGCTGGTTGTAGAGTCATCTTCCATTCTCAAAAGGCTGTAAACTTATATTATGCGTTTACTTAAACTCCCACATAATCCTTGCATGTGTAGTTGATTGTAGTGTCACTTGTAATTAAATCATAATGAACATTTCCTGCATTCCAAGGCTTTTGCTGATATGCTGAGAGTGAACAAAACATTGAAAAGTCTAAATATAGAATCCAACTTCATCACTGGAGCTGGCATTCTGGCACTGACTGATGCACTAAAAGAGAATGAAACCTTGACAGAGATCAAAATCAATAACCAGGTAAGTGAGCTGATCGTATGTTTATAGTTGCATTGCTGCAGACATGCTGTTTACCCTGAGTGTGACACATTTGATAGAACAGATACTCATTTGTAATAGATTCACGTACATTTTTGAAGACAAGCTGAGTGTCTTATAGGATTTGATATACTACTTTTTTTATAACTCATTCATAAATCTTTGTTCCAGAGTGTTTTTTCTAGCCAGAAGCAGGGATGTTAAAAATGGACAATGTTCATCTGAAATAGGACAAAGCTGGAGGAAAAGATGAATTCATAAAGCTCCCATGCATCATAAGTAATGATAAAACATGAAAGAGAGTGTCTGTGTATAGTGATGATCAAACAGTGTCTTAGTCAGGACTGGCTAACTGGGAATCCTGCTGACCCCACAAAATAGAAATGCAATGGGAATTACATTTTAGCAGTGAAAGAGGCCAAGAGACCTTTAAAATCTAGGTTGAAATAAGAGGAGATGGATGAACAGTTGTATCGTGTTACACTGCCTCCTTCCTCACCTTCTAGTGGAATGAAACTGGGTATTTGAAAGAGCCAAGGCCTAGAAAGGGCACAGAACCTGGTACCTGACAACTGTGGGCTGTAGAGAGCAAGGATTCAGCACAGACGGTTTGTTCAGTTCCTCCTGGAGTCTCTCACCTAATGTTACAGCCTTACAAAGGTCCAGGGCTAGTTATCTGATGAAAGGTGCCAAGTCTGTCTCTCAAGTTTCGGCTGCTTTCTGTTGTGAGAGAATGGGGCAAGATACCATATTTACTCAAATATAATCAGTGGTGTAGTCTAAGACGCCCCCCCCATAATTAGATTCCATATATGGAAAACATATATTTGTTACAGTTTTCTGGGTATAAAATCTAATTTTTGGAGGTTTTCCTTGAATTTGTCCCCCTTCCACTGCTACAGCAGGGAAAATAAATGTGGGTAGCCCTTTGGTCAGGTAGCCCTTTGCTCTCTGTTTCCCTCCCAGTTTTTTTCCCTGACAGCCCCTTCCCCCTCTCCGTACTGTCCGACCCTGCTCTCCCTGAGCACATGGAAGTAAGAAGCAAATTTGAAAACAATAGCCTTGACATTAAGCATGGCAGTAGTGATTTGCCTATGGTACTTATAGACTGTTTATTGAGAATTGATGCACATTACCTGTTTTGAAAACTGCCGGAAGTTTTAGCACAGGTACTCCATAAACACTTGTTAAAAAGCACTTCAGCAACTACTTGTACACTACAGTACAAACTATGCATGATATTAGTCCAGAGGCAAAGGCTTGTAATTTTACCACATACTTCATTGGGCTGGGTCCCACCAGAGTCAACAGCATTTCAAACCACAGTGACCCCACAGCTCAACACTGCTTAGTATGTGTGCGTACTCCAGATTCTCTCCCCCCCCCCACTGCCCTCCCAAGGAGCCACATGCTAATTAGCCCCCACTCATGACTGGAACCGGGTGTTCCTGTCAAGTCCTGGCATGCTCCAAAGATTTATGTGCATGAGGCACAGGGCAACCTGATCAGGCTTCACATCATGGAGGGTGGAGGCACATTAACTCTGTGCACCGGGCTGAGAGGGGGTGGGGACAGGCATTCCGAGGGAACTGTATGCAATGCTGTGACGCAGCATGACGAGAGAGTCGGTGGTCATGGGGACTGCACGCAGTGGGCACTACCATATGTCTTATTCATATAGGCTGCACTAGGTTCCCATCAGCGTGTTTGCCCAATGTGGGCTGGGTGTTTTATAGTCAAGCTCAGTGTTGGCTGCATGACTGCATTTAATCAGTTTCATAGTTGGTTTCCATTGTTAAGCACATGCTGCTTTTGACAACAGTTTAATGATAGACAATGTATTTAGTGAGATTCCCTTGTATGTGATTATAAGAAGACCGGCTTTTTCTCTCCATGCCAGTGAGGGGGGAGGGGAGGGGAGGTGTTGAGGACCTCATCTTGTATTCAAGTAAATATGTGCTTGTCATTCTTCTTTCCTAACTATTGCCGGCTGCAGGAAGCTGTTGTGTAGTTCTCCAGCCCCATACTTCCAGTATCTGGGCGGGCTTGTTTAAAATGTCTTGGCTAAAATGCTGACTAATACCTTTGGAACTTGCATGTAGACAGGACAAACTACTCTGGCCTGCGTTAGTTGGTCAGCCGAAACATTAGAGCCAAACCTAGGACTGACCATGACCATTTAACACTTGTTAAGGCATATTTTGCTTTGTCAGCAATCAGGTTTTAAAACACATTAGCTAACACCTTTTCTCCCCTCTCACCCCCAAGCCTAGACAGATCCTTGTCAGATTATGAAATGAGGCTTATTATGCCTTTTTTCTAGAGTGTTGTCCCTAGGGCTCCTATACATTTCCACAAATAAAGCCATAACTTTATTTCTTTCTTAAACGTCCTTACTGGGGAGCTGGGCTCCAGGCCCTTTCCGAGTGGGAAGCATGGAAAGTTGAAGGTAATTGCCCTGTAGATGTCATTGCTTGGAATTAAGGAGTGCTAAATATTTTATTCTGTTAACTGTTCCTGATGTACTTTAAATATTGGTTTCACTGAAGTGTTACACAGGCTGTAACTTCAGCTTGTTTTCATTGATTGAAGATCGTTTTAGCCCAGAACAGTCATGTCTACCCAGACAGCATTAGAAATTCCAGAGGAAAAGATTTGGTATCATCAAAAAATCCCATAACGTAATAAACAGTTTGAGGTCATGGTTCTTATGTCTTAATGAAAATGGTCAGTCCTTTTTCTTCTTAATTTTGTGTTCTAAATAAACTTCAAACTTAGTGTTCTAAGCACGTAGCACTTTATCAGAGAGACTCCCCATTATATTGCATTTTTAAAAGAGAGATTGCACTTACTCTTCAGTTGTGACAGCAGTAGAAGAGACCTTGCTTTTACCGAGTAAGTGATACATGGGCGGAATAGGTCCACAAATTTGGATAACCTTTCCTTTCTTTTCCCTTTGTGATGGTAGCCTGGCAGGTCCAGAAAATGTCTAAAGGCCACTACCAACTACTATAAACTAGGTAGCATGGGACCAATGTTCCCTCTAAGGAGGAGTGGTCTGTGAGTGCACTGCCTTGGTCCGGCATGGGACGCTTATTGAAGGGGCCTGGAGGCTGGAGCCGAGAGGCTGGGGCTGAGAGGCTGGCGCGGGCTCCGCTGGCTCCGGGGAAGCACTCCGCTCCCCCGCATCAGGGCCCAGGAGTGGAGCTAGCCCTGATGCGGGGGAGTAGAGTGCTTCCCTGGAGCTGACGGAGCCCACGCCAGGCTCTGGTGCACAGCCTTGAAAAGGCTGTGCACAGCCACACGTTTAGTTGTGCGCAGCTGTGCATGCGCGCACCTTAGAGGGGACCTTGCATGGGACTCTTCCTGACTGTACAGTGCCCATAAGGATACACAAGAACTTGGGCAAGCTTGAGACGGGTACAAACAACAATGTGCAGGAAGGGGACCAGCTCTGGGAAGGAGAAAGATGGTGTGTAACTGATGCAAATATATGAATGTGGGAGTACTCCTCTAGGTGTAAGTTTTAAAAAGAAATTAAAAAAATGCTCTTAAAGTTGGTGCCAAGTTGCTATAGGGACTGGTGCTCTGAGGTACGTAGAAACACCTACACTCTGAACTTCTTTGATCAAAACAGAAATTGCTATCTAGAAGTGAAACATCTTCATTGTATAGTTATTTCCTGTTTAAAAAAATAAAAACCTAATATTGAAGTGTTAATGTTTGTTAACAGAGGCAGCAGTTGGGACAACCTGTAGAAATGGAAATTGCCAAGATGCTGGAGGAGAACACACAGATCCTTAAATTCGGATACCAGTTCACACAACAGGGACCACGGACCAAGGCAGCTTCAGCTATCACAAAAAATAATGATTTGGGTAAGACCAGTCTGTAGAGAGACTGATGAATGACCTTATCAGCACAGGAGTCAGAGTAGTTTTGCTTTGCATTTTAATGGATTTTCTCAGGATAAAAAGATGCAGGTAAAACTTTCAGTTTTCTTCTGCACTTGAGTCTTGCTTTCATTTATGCTGTTTCTTCCTCTTCCTCACTTCTAATGACATCTCTGTGTCCCTAAGGTGGAGTCCAGTATTCTTCTGGCGGTAGCATCAAAAATGAGAATTCCAGATAAGGTTTAACTAAAAAGAGCATACTGATCAGTAATTTCACATTTGGTTTGGGCCAGAATAAGTTTAGCACTTTCTTAAAAGGCCACTGTGAAATTGTGAGTTAAAAAGTGCAGCCTACTCTCTTTCTTCTTTTCCACTTCACCCCATTGTTTATTACTCCAGTTGGGAGACTAATCCAGTCCCTGGTACCAGGATACATTTCTACAGAAGGCTAACCAACTCGGTGAGAGATGAGAACTCAAGTCACTCCTAAAAGAGTACTCTAGAAATGCAAACTCTCTAGCTATAAATCAAATGAATATGAGAAGTATGGTTAAAACAGGAATGCCTCTTTACCTTTTTCACTGTGTACAGTCTAAATTCCTGGTTAGAGAGATGCACCATGATACAAGAGAGGCCATGAGCCAGGCAGCTAAGAAGATGTTGCACAGAAACTTGAGGGGGAAGTGAGGACCATTGTTTAGGGCCTATGGTGTAGAAAGCTTGGAAATGGGTCAAGAGATGCCATTTAAGGAAAGCTAGCCTGAGGGTGGTAAGGTTGCTCTAAAAGAGGCAAGGAAGGAGGAGGCATAGGAGAGGCCTCAGTTGAAGGATACAGGAAAGCTACATAAATACCTCAAGAGAGCCTAGATTTTGAAGCTCGCAGTTGGATCTTTTTCTCTTATTTTAAGTGTTGCTCTACTTGTCTTGAACTTCCCTCTTTTTTTCTATGAGTTCTTATTTCAGCATTTAATTGTTGGAAATCTATTTTTATATTCTCTTTTGATATCTTGCCTTTTTTTTCCCCTTGCTTTCTTAGTCTGGAGTGTGCAAGTAAAAATTTCTGCAAATGCCCTTCCATCTCTCCAGCCCTGAAGCTACAGAGACAGGTTATTGTGAATACCCATTTGGGTATCGAGCACTGAAACTGTGATGTTTAAAGTCTCGCATCACTGTCTTTGTATGTTTCTTCTGAAAAATTGAGTAGACTTTCTCATGATTTTGTGCTGTACTGTACCCTGTTTTTGTTTGCTTGACATTTCTGTATAAATCAGTTTTAACTGCATGACTGGAGAAGTCAGTAGTGTGAATGAAACATCCATTTTTGCAACCTAATTAGAAACGGATATTAATGAAATGTAGATCAGTTTTACTGTAAAACAAACACACTCCAGTCATTCAGTGAACCCAGCATATTGTTTAACTCTAAACACCATGTGATCTTTATTAACTTTACTCACTAATCCTGTGTTGCTTTTGTAACATCATCTCAGGAGGTCTGCAAACCAATTCGCTCATTTAACAATTAACTGAAGATTTTATCAAGTTGCTGAGCATATCCTAAGATTTTTTTCACTAAATGTATGGTTCTTGGGGCATATTACAAAATTACTCTGTTCACTATTGAAGTATATTCACTAATTAGAACTATAATTCACCACCTCTTAAGTTTGCTTACTAGACTAGAGTGTTGCAAGCACTTTTTATTTTTTACTATACAAACATTTTATGGTATTCATAGGTACCAGAATATAATATTCCAAGTTGCTAATGAATAAATTAAAAATCCTGGGTAATGTTAAGTGTTATTTAATAGAGCTGTGCAAAACAGCACCGTTCCATTTCAACTTCAATTTCACTGTTTCAACAGGACAATGTTTTGTTTTGAGTTTTGTTTCGTCAAAACTGTTTTGCTGTTTCAATGTTTCGCCCATAGGCTGTAATGGGGAAGCATAAAACAGCCTATAACTTTCAGTTCTTGATTGATTCGGATGAAACTTGCAGGAATGGGTATCCCCTTCTGAGGCCATGAAGCCTGTCAAGTTTCAAGGAGATAGGTGCAGGGGTTTGTGGGAAACTGAACCTCACGCTGCTGACAAGCAAAACTTGTGACATGGGTGACAGAAAGCAGGCCAGTTCAAACAATTCTGCCTTTTATGCT